ACATATGTATATACAGTATGTATTACAGCATGATCAGGAGTTTAAAACTATATACAAATGTCTATCATTATTCTAGAAAACGTCTAAAAATGTAAAAAGCAAAAGTGAAATAATGTAAGCCATTTAGATCCTAAATGTTTGACATATTCAGTTCACAGAAATGTGATGAAGATAAACCAGTTTACAGTAAAATCTGACCTTTAGAGTGTTGCTTTAGTTTCTGTTTCATCTGTTTCAAAAGAGATTGCGTATTTTTGGCTTATTTCTTTAAATGAATCATAACTTTTGAAAGCCAATTTAAACAGCATTCTAAAATCATTATAGGTCAATCAGTTAATTGTTTTAAGGTGAACCTGTATATTATGATTAGCTTCACTTCGTTGATGTAGAGGCTTTCTGGACTGTTTTGTATGAATATCTCTGGGCTGTGGACTTGGATATTATGATCTTTGGAGAACTCACCTTTGACTAATGTGGTCCATGCAGCAGAAGTTGTAACAAGTAAGTTTAGCACAAAATGTAAGAAATGTTAATGTTTGGTAGATWRTTTCTATGTTGTAATAATGCTTCTTGGCAATAAATCTCCAACTAAGTCTATTAGAACAATTCCAGAAAGGTACAAAGACTTTGTTGCTCCAGTTGTACACTAAAACTGGAGCATTTTTTGCAYAGTTGATGGGACAAAAACACTGTAAAACTCTAGTGAGTTAGGAGGAGATAAAAATGCACTTTAACRCATATACTCAGTTTAGAATCACAAATTCTCATTCGATGTTTTTGGACTGATGGGGGGAGATGAAGTAAGCCCACTGAGGTTTTGGGGAAAACCATGTAAACACTCAGGAAGAACCCATCTGAGAAACAAGGTATTTGTTGGTGTGGAACGTTGAAATAAGCAGCTGTTCTCTCCATGCAGCCTGAACTGAGTTTAGTTCGTAGCTTTTCTTATATTTTAAGTTGAACATACAGGACCTCTATTTTTCAGAGACAAATATTTCCTTTAAAATGAAACTAGAACAAATATCTGTACCCTTTAATAGATTATCTTTAGAATTGTCCCTTTGGTAGACAGGGTTAAAACCGGTTTGTCTTCTTGTTTATGAGGATAACAAATAACTTTGTGACAGATGTTTGAAATGTCTTTGATACTCAACCTTGGTTTCATTTCAGCAAAACCCCACAAGCTTTGACATATTTGCAAAAGGGAAAGAATAAACATGCCTTTTGTGTCTTATGAGCATTGACGCTAATGTCACACCACGTTTGGACCTCTGCTCAGGCCTCTTGAAAGAGCCTATGCCTTAAATATGTAGAAGGTAGGGGGCTAGGTGACACAAAGCAGTGCTGCACACTGTCTCTGTACTGGCCTCTCCAAATAATGATACTTTAACTAACACTGTCTTTTTATCCCCGCTGAGGCTTTGGACCAAAAGTTGCCCTCATGTTCTGTCAGGTTGCATGATCTTTGAACACAGTGGAGCCATTTTATCATCAGCAACTTTGATCCTATGCAGCTGTCATTTATAGAAAATGTTTTAAATAAAGATTTCCTTGAAAAACTGCTGAGGGGTTTCAAATTCACAGTAGCTATGTTTATAAAAGAAGTAAAGAGTTCTCCAGTAAAGCATGAGACTGTCAACTCTGCCTTCAGGGGACTGTGAAGGTTCATCTCTGTCTTCAGCTTTCAGAGGAAACACACTTTCTTTGCTCAGGCTTTGTTACTGAAGGAGTGCACTGCACTTCTATTGTGTTTTTCCTGAAAACACCATGTCTGAAATGACATCATGGACACAATATGGCTCAGGATTTGTTATGACTTCATTCAAGACCACTGTCGTGCACAGAACATAAGTCAGCATTGTTCTGCAATGACACGAGCATGCAGAGAGCTTAACAAATAGACTGTTCTGAACCCAGAAATTTGGCAGAGCTAGTCTCATTGTGATTTGAAGGGAAAGACGTTTGCAAAAAAAAAAAAAAAAGATAAATGTGGCAAAAAAAAATGTCTGTCTCATGCTCTCAATTCTTATCTCTGCACAGCGATGCCCTGGCGAACTTGGCCTCACACACCGGAACTCTTACATTCCTAATTAATTTGCTCCCTGTCTTGGCCCTTCGCAGTCCACCATGGGAAAGTAAGAATAACTGCGGCTGATAAAATTTCACAAGCAGCTCCTCCACAGCCTCGCGAGTTTAGGTGCGAAAATACGAGTCGTTCCCGAGGACTGGAGAAGTGTTAATTAGTCTTAGACGGCTCATTTCCAAACCTGGCAGATTGAMTGAATTTTCTAATGATTTTAAATGTAACGGAAGGAACTTCTAGCCGATTRTATCGTGTTTGTCAGTCAAATTTGTAAACATGTCTGCATAAAAGTAAAAAATAAAAATAAAAACTGTGAGAAAACGCCTCCTCCACTAAACCATCGTGACCTTGGTGTTGGGATTTTTAAGAGGAGTGTGGACAGAAGAATGTAGAGTTGATCCAAATAAAAGGCAGTCTGTGTGAAATCAGCCTTATGATGCCTTTGAACCAATCCTTTATCTCTGTGATCCCTGTAAAATATGCATGTTTGGTTCTGTGACGAGATGACTTGAGCTGGAACATTTGTTCATATTTTCTCCAGGGGGAAAAAAAAGTGAAATCTCTGGAACACAGTGACTCAGCGTGTACCTGTTTATCTCACTGTGCCACTTCTTCTGACCAACAAACCACAAAAACATAGCACAGCAGGGATTTATTTTATTTTTTTATCATTCTGAATAAGGCAGGTTGTTTCTGTCTTGTTCAGCGACTATTTTGTACTCAGTGAAACATAGAAGTAAAAAAAAACGAATGTTAAAAGCCTCTATTATTATCTGCACTGAAAGGTGAACATGGATAATAATGATTTTGTGTGGAGGGGGCGTGTGTGAACTTGTATTTGTTGTATTTGCATTTAATTAGAGGAGTTTTGAACATATTGTATCAAGCAGCTGATAATCCTGGAGCTAAAATAATTTCCTGTCAGACAAACTGAAGTTGATATCATTTTGTTAGGTTTTTTTTATCATCCTGCCTGTTTCCATTGTAGCATTTTACTTCCTATTGTAAAACATTGTTTTGCACGAAGCACAAAAACACAGATATCAGTGTAGCAAGAAAACAAAATAGCAGAAATATGACCATGTGAATATATCACAGCTGTGTTGTTGTTTTATTTTATTTTATTTTATTTTTGTCCAAGCGCTTTTAGCATGTAAGTCACCTTGCTCGTTCACCTACAAATGAGTTGGCTTGCTTCACTGATAAACTATGAACAAAACATGAGTAATAAATTATTGTATTGTCTTTATTTGACCTAATTGGAGGTTTCAGAAGCTGGGGAGAAAATGATGTGGCATGTAGTTCACAACCACAAGTTGTCAGTTTTTATTAAAATGTTCTCTGCAGTGTGGACTGTCTAATCTAATTTTCCAAACAAAATGTGTTTTTGCAGTAAATWATGCCTAAAGAAGAATGTTTTGTGCCACACCCATTAATAAAGCCATTCTTTTCCCTTCTTTTTCTATTTTATTATAGATTCTCTGAATGGGCCATTTCCATCAACGTCCCATCGATGCCACCACAAGTCCAAGCGCTGCCTGCCCATCCAGCCATGTGTCAATTTGTCCTCCTTCCCGCTGCTCTTCCACCCCAGCACCAAGGGCTCCCAGATCGTCATGGACCTGGCCCAGAGGACCGTCAAGAGACAGGCCAGCTTCTGCAACGCCATCACCTTCAGCAACAGACCCATTGCTATTTATGAGCAAGTTCGACTAAAAGTAAACAACATTTAAGAATTCATTTTGTCTCAGAWATACATTTTTTTCCTCTAAACTTATATAACATACTTAAGTTCAGAGTGTATATAATACTTTATACAGTTAAAGTATGGGAAAACACTGACTTCTGAGGATGATAAAAAGACATTCATTTTCCTTCACCTCAAGACTTCGCCCTCATCTTTCGATTCTCTCTCTCTCTCTCTCTCTCTCTCTCTCTCTCTCTC